CCCCCCCCCCGAAGCTCCAATTCCTCAGGCCAGTGTGGCCCCCACCTGCAGGGAAAGGGCCGCTCGCTCTGGCCCCTGCCTCCACCCACAAGTCCGACTGGTGCAGCCCCGGGCCCCTGCTCCAAGGGCCGCATCCCCTCTGAGGCCGGCGCACGCGCCACAGCAAAGCCGAGCCTCCGCAGGCCGCACCGCAGAGCAAATCCAGCAGGTTTGGCGCCTCGTTCCTCTGGCGAGGCCCGGGCGGAATCCCACCCACCCTCCTAAACCTGCCACCCCCTCCAAACTTCCGCTCCCTCTCCATTCAGGCCCTGCCTGTAAGCGGAGCCATCTTACCGCTCAGTGACAGCTGGAAGCCAACACAGGCCACGAGAGAACGCTGCCACGTGCCGCAGCCCCGCCGGCCTCTGCCGGGCCAGGCAGGCGTGGGCTCGGGCTCGGGCTCGGGCAGCCCCCACCGGGCGCCTCCCCGTGCACGGGGACTGGCTCTGCAGGCCAGCCACTGGGGGGGGGGGTCCCCACTGGAGTCGTCCAGTGCAGGGTAGCAAGCACCTGCACGGTTTCCGCCGGGTCAGCCTGAAGCAGCGCAAGATGCAGAGCAATTGCATAACGCGCCGCGGTCGCCCACGCCGAGCTCCCGGGTCCCCATTCCCCAAGCCTGCCGTTCACTCCTGGCTGCTGCTTCATCTGTGGGCGCTCCAGCCGGAAGGCCGCGTGCAGCAGCTGCCGCGGGGCCCGTTGGGGCCCTCCCCGCGAGGGCCGCGCCTGGCACTAACGCCTGGTCACCCGTGCTTAGGCCCGGCCGGGTGACGGCTTGCTTGGCATCCCGAAAACTCGGGTTCGGTCCCTGCTGGGCTGGGAAGGGGACATTTCTGGGCCCGAAGGCCGGCTCTGGCTAGGGGGCAGCCCCAGCTCTGTCACTGCCACCCTGGCCATGTGGGGGGCACGAGGTCACCCCCTGCTTGCCCACAGGCAGCCAGACCTCTCCCAACCGCCTCCGGCCCTCGGAGCCTGCAGCACCACACTCAGTCCTGGGGCAGACGGGCCCCCTCCCTGCCTCGGGACAGGGCCTGTGGCACACACAAGCCCCCCCGCTGCACGCACGGGAGCAGGCCTGGTCGCGTCTGGAGCCGAGGGACGGCTCATCCGTGCCAGTGGCAGGAGGCTGCCAGGCGCAGCTATAAATAGGCCAGGCTGAGCAAGGGGGGACCTGTTGCTAGGGAGACACCGTGGCGAGACGGCCGGGCCAAGTGGGGCGGAGGAAGCCTGCGCAGGGGGCGGCCGGGCTGGCCGGCGTCTGCGCACGGGCGCGCCCAAGCCCCGCTGCCCGGCACCCGCCCTGCCCCTCTGCAGCCAGAACAGCGACCGGGGCCACCGGGAGCCGCTCAGAGATGCGGCCGACGTGCGCAGGAAGGGATTCTCTGGACCGGGGATGGGGGCGCTGGTGTTCAGCACGGCAGCGCTGACTGCCTGGCGCGCCAGATGGATCTCGCCAAGGTGGGGGACAGGCAAACCGGCACATGGCCTTCGTGGAAGCGAGTGCCGAGTGATGCACGCCCAGGCCGGGGTCCCAACCTCGCGTCCATGCAGAGGGCGCCTGAGCCAGTGCCGGCTGAGCAAGGAGGGGAGCTGGGGGTTGCGGTGGGCGGCTGGACGGTGGGGGCACCCCGGCACTCGACTGCGGGGGAGCAGCAAGCGCACGCTGAACCGAACCGGGGGGGGGGGGGACAGAAAACGACGCCTCCAAGACCCCCTTGCCTCTGTGCAAGGCTGCAGCGCCAACTCGGTCGCCACGCTGAGCGCAGTTGTGGCCGCCTGAGTGCGCGCTGGACGGCAGGGCCTCAGCTGAGAAAAGCGCGAAAAGGGGCAACTGCACGACCTAGGAGTTTGGAGGAAAGGAGGCCAGGCCGGAGGCACTTCAGCCTGGAAGCGGGGTGGGCACATGGAATCATGCATGGGGGCGGAACGCGAGTCAGCGAGATGCCACGGAAGGGGCAGTGCGTGGAGGGGGAGAGCCATTGCTGCCGGCGGCTCCTCGCCCCGCAGGCTTGGCTGCCCCCACGGCCGCTGCGGGGGGGAGCGGCTGCCTGCCCCTGCCCTGCCCTGCCGGGGCCACCACGCTGGGGCCCCACCGCACCTGGCCCCGGGCTCCAGAGGGCGAGCCAGCCAGGCGGCACCCTGAGCACGGGGGGCAAGGGAGGCCTGCCCATAGGTGCCCAGCATGCTGCTTGCTTGCTGCCCCTCTGGCACCGGCCTCCCCCTGGCTCTACCGGCTGGGTCAGCGACCTGGCAAGGGGGGCACTGGCCTTGGGGAGTAAAAGAGAAGGGGGTGGGCGGGGGTGGGGGGGCAGCTAGACAAAGCACCACTGGGCAACTAGATCTTCCTGCCACCCCGCAGCACTGGCCCCTCGAGGGTCTGACGCAGCCTGCCCCCCCAGGCCGGCCCAAGCAGCTCCTCTGCTCACTCCGCCCCACCCCAGCCTGCGCCTCCACCGGTTCAAGGAGCACAGGCTGCCGGGGGGCAGGGGGCGGTGCAGAGCCCCAGAACTGCGGGCCCGAGGCACCCCACCGCCCGCCCAGGAAGGCTCGCCACTCCATCCGGCGGCTCCCGGCCCCTGCCTCCGCCTCGCGCCCCACCCCTCTGCCACGCCGGCATCCCCCTGGGCTCCCTTCTCCCGCTGGGACGCCGCAGCCCCCTCTGCGCCATGCGGCCCCGGCACGCCCTGCTCCCTTCCAGACGGGGCCTGTTGCGACGAGGCGCATCTGGGCTGCAGGCGAGTGGCGCACGACGCCAAGGCGTGGGCTCCGGTGGCCACTTCTGCACGGGGGGGCACAGGCAGGGAAGCGGCCCCACTCGCCGTGTGGGTCTTGCTGCAGCAGCCGCCCAGGCCGGACGGCGGTGAAGCCACCGAAGCGCCACACCAAGCGCCAGAGCAAGGCAGGGGGTGCACGTGGCCGGCGTGTCGTGAGCGGAGCCGGCTGGAACTGGGGTCAGACTAGATGGCCCAGGAGGCCCCTTCTGGCTCACCCCGTTTCCATGTTTCTAAAGCACATGCTAGGCGGCAGCCCCTGCGCCTTTTCTTGCTGAGTTTACCGAACTCAAACTACAGAGGCGTTTGGGGAGGCCTGGCTACCAACTATTCATGGATTTCTGTGCTATTCCATTTCGTAACCAATCGATAGACTTTCTGACTTCTACCGATTTATCAGTCCAATTTAATTGATTCATCAATCCATTCAAAAGCATTCAGAAATTAGGAGGCCTCTGTGAAGGAGCATTTCCGAGGGCCTCACACACGGCAACAGGGCTGCTGTCTTCCAATTCTGAAATACGGAATATTCCCTCCCTCCGGATCCCAGAATCAAATAAAGTCTGGGATTTGGCGAGGGGGCCACAGTCCCCCGTGTGCTCCCCCCCCCCCCCGCAGAGCTGGGCCACAAGGGGCCTCTGGGTGACGTTCCGCTCAGCCAGCAGCCCGGTCTGCTCCCAAGGCGGGCCTGAAGCGCTCCCAAGGCGGGCCTGCATGCACTGCCCCCCCCCACCGGAGACGTTCCGGAAGGACCGGGCAGCCCCCGCATGGCCCGGAGCCGCTTGCTGCCCTGCAACGCAGGCCGTTGGACCCAGCGGCCTCCCGGCCCCTTCCAGCGCTACCCTTCTCGGGTTCTGCTTCCCTCGCGGCCAGGGGACGGTTCCCTGACACCCGAGGGGCCCGGCTGTGCACTCACGGGGGTCCGTCCAGCCCCCCGGAGCCCCGCTGCCCGGCAGGCCGTTTCCCCGGGAGCGCAGGCGCGTCCACTGACCGACCCCTCGCCCTGCCATGCGCTGAACGGCGTCCAGCCCAACCCTTTCACTCTTTTCACGGGGATCTCGTTTTCCATCTGGCGGCTGCAACCGGTCAGGTCACTACTGGGCACTGCGGGGCTGCGCTTAGCGCCGTGTGGCCCAGCGGCCGGGGGCTCTCCCCCCCGGGCACCACGCTCCCCTCGGCTGGCGGAGCATGCAAATGGGGAGTTGCTGCCAAGATTCCTCTCCCTCCCACCAGGCCGGGGCGCAAAGCGTGCTGGGGCTCGTGCCCCCCAGAAGAACGTGGTCACCTCCCTGCTGGCTGCCCGACGCGGGGATTCCCGGGACGGAAGGGACCTCGCGGCAAATGCATCAGCTGCTCAGGCACGCCAGCTCGCCCATTCTGGGCTCCGGGTAACAGTTACGGGGAGAAGAGCCCGGCTGAATCTAGGCCAAACGGCTGCAACATTGCCTCTTCTGATTAAAATACCTCTAAAAATGAATACAATGAAGCTTCTAGTCCTCAGGATGGCCTAGATAATTCTCCCTGATGCAAGCGGGCATAGGTTTGTGAAGTCACCGGAGCTGGACCTCCCCTTCCAGGCTGGAGGGCCAGTCCACGAGTGCCCCCTCCGTGGCTCCCTGCACGGCCCCCTCAGAGTTCCACCTATTTGGGCTACTGCGGGGCACGTTTTGATGTGCTGAAGCCTGAGAAGCAGCTTTGAAATCCACTACATGACGGCGCACCCTCCGCCCTTTTCCCACGTCATCCTGCAAAATATGGGAAACCGTTTGCCCCCACCCCCAAATTGCCGGCACTGGCAGAGCGGGAAGGGCACCCGATGGGCGCCAGAACACCGCCTTGGGGGAGGGGCAGGGGGGGCCGGGGAGGGCGCGTGCGTGCGTGCGTGTGTGCGTGACACAGAGGGGGAGGGGGCTAGTCCCGGAAGGGTCATGCACGCCCAGTCGGGGGCCGGCAGCGACGGTCGCCCCACGGCTCCAAGCCCACATCATAGCAGCAAAGCACAGCGATGGCCTCGCCCGCCCACGTGCCTGGGGGGTGTGAGAGCGGGCACGACCCCACGGCAGCAGCACAAACATGGGAGGGTGTGGATGTGTGTCGCGTGCGCGAGCATCCACACGCCCAGCGCAAAGCCTGGCATGAAGGCCACATGAGAGACAAGCCGCCCCCCGAAAACCCCAAAGGTGCGCCACGAACCTTGTCCAGCCGAGCGGCCGCTGGGTTATCGGCCTGTGGGAGAGAGGCAAAGGAGAGGAGGCAGTTAGCACACGTGAGCCGGGGACGCGCTCCGCAGGCGCCGTCCGCCGCCGGTCCCGGGCGCGGCGGGGCGGGGCGGGTGGCACGGCCTCCCCCGGGCATCGCCGCCAGCAGGCCCGTGCAGGCTGCAGGCTCCGCCGGGGCAGCGGGGACCCTCCCAGGGCGGCCGTGCCTTTCTGGTGGGTCCGGGGGGCACGGAAAGGCGCTCCGGCGACGCTCCGCGGGGGGCCACTTCCACTCGTTTTAGGGTATTTACGTGCCGCTTTCCATTTCCGAACCCCCAAAGGGTCCACCACACATTGCGGGACGGTGCAGCGCCGCGAGCGCCACGGCCTCCGGGTCCAGTGCCAGTGGGGAACAGTGACTCAGACAGAGCTGCTGAAGCGAGGGCAACACGCAAGGAGGTCGGTGCCGGGCGCAGGAGCGGGTTGTTCCTGGGCCCCACGGGGAAGGCCCCGTGCTGTGGCTGCCAGGTGGCCTCTGCAGAAGCGGCACCCACAGCCAGGCCTCCCCGGAGATCGCCGGCCCAGCGGGCCCACGCGGGGAGGGTCTTGCGGGCAGCTGTTCCTGCGTCGCCTGGCCCGGAGCCGGCACGGCTGGGGGCCCGGAGCCGGTGAGGGCCTCCCGGGCCATGCACCGGGCTCCAGGCTGGCCGACCCTCGCAGCGGCCGGCACACGGACCAGCGTGGCCAAGCGCCCGTGCCAGGAACAGGCGTGGCCGACACACCAGCCGTCGTGATCTGCAGGTGGCCTTCCCGGAGTTCACCGGCCTCTTCTCTTTGGCCTGCACAATACTGGTGACCAAAACGCACGTCATTGTCCTCGCGCAACAATTGGCATCGGAGCCTGACAGCATTCCCTTAACCTCCCTTCTTTCCCGAAAATATGGGTATAATCCTACAAGTTATACTGGTGTTTTTGTGTTAATGGTGTTACCATAGTATCCACAATAAGAAATAAAGGAGTGATCGCAAATGAGGTTAAGCCACTTTAGACTTGTTGGCCATGACTCAGAGGTCGCTTCAGAGGTCGCAGCGTCATCTGCAGGCGCAGCACAGTCCCAGCCCCACGGCCCACCTCCATCGCAGACGGACCGAGCTGCAGGAAGGGGCAACGCGGCTGGCAAGAGTTTTAGTGAGGGTTAAAGATCACGTTTTTAAGCCCGAGTCAAGGGTTCCCAGAGACGTGCGCCGCGGGTTGGAAGAGAGTCCGTTCCTGTTAGATTACAGCCTGTCCCCCGCCCAGCACAGGCGGAAGAGGGGCACCTGCGCTCCCCCCTCGTCCGGACGGAGGATGCCGGACTCCCTGAGGCGAGGAAAAGGCGGAAGCACCTCCGGGAAAGCAGGCTGGCACGGACCGGACGGCCACATCACGGAAGCCCCGTCTAGCAAGCGGGGCAGCTCCACGCTAAACCCGAGCGCAGAAGCCCTGCGGGGCAGGATGGACGCGATCGCTCACCGCCGTCCGCCCGGCAGAGGTAGCCATGGGCACCTGCCGCAGGTGAGCTCGGGACGCGGCTGCCAGCTCCAGGCCGGAATTCGCCCCACAGTCTGGTCCAGCAATCGCCAACAGCCTGCGGAATGCCCTCCGGCCCCGGCATGCCCTGCAGCCGCTTTGGGGCACCCCAGGGCATGCTGGGAGGAGGGGGGGCATGTGACGGACTCCGCTGTGAGGCGAGAGGCTGGCCAGGCCCCCCACCTCCTCGCAGCTTCATGCCAGAAATGCCGCGGTCGCTTTGGCGAGCGAGTGGCAGCTCCAGCGGAGCTCTTGGGGAGCCCAAGTGTGTTGCGCGGGAAGGGGCCGGCAGGCGGGATCCGGAGGCTCACGCGGCAGTACAGGCCTGGCCGGGACGCCCATCACTCCCGGGCTCTGCGCCTCCCGAACCGTGCGTGTCCATCCCACCTCCCCGCACCGGCACTCGCTCTGGGCGCCCTGCTTTGACCCGGCACCAGCGGATGGTGCGCGTGCCACACATGTCCGGGGATGCGCTCGTGCCGGCGGTGAGTACGGAGAAAGGCACACGGCCAGAGGAAGGCAGGGCAGAATGCCGGCGCCGCAGGGGGCGGACAGGAGGTCTGCGACAGTGGCCCAAAGGGAGCCCCGTGCTGCCAGGAGGGGCCTCGTCCGGGAAGCCCCGGTCTCAGCGCCGCAAGGGTGCGGCTCCTGCCCAGACAACGGCGAACAGCAGACTTTGCCAGAACCAAGCCCGAGAAGAGCGAGGGACGGTGGGTGATGCCCGGGAAGGAAGCGAAGGGGAGCTTGGCTCACAGGGAGGGCCCACGGGTCCACACTCGGACGCAAACTGTGGCGGAAGGCATCTTAGCCCAGGTCCAGCCCACGGGGTAGAAGCCGCGCTCAGGGGCTTCAGTAGGGAACCACAAACCCCTCAGGGCGAACCTCCCGCAGGAGCAGTTTCCGAAACAGCAGCATACTTTGGGGGGGGGGCTCAGAGGGACGCGGGGCAGCCGGGGCTGCAGGGGCTCCGCCACCACCCGAGCACTTCCTCTCTCAGAAGCACACACTTCCTGCCGCATCCTCCCCGCAGCTCGAGCAGCTGCAGCCAGGGCGCCACACAAGCCCCTTGGGTCGCGCCACTCCTCTGGGGTGTGGGGGCTCCTGCCTGAGCCAAGGTCCCCCAGCCACTTCCAAGGCCAAGCAGCACCCTGGGGTGTGGAAAGACCCCGTCCCCCGTCTGCGAGGGAGCAAGAGAGCACACGCAGCGCAGCGGTAAGCCACGGCCTCCTGGCGGGGGCATGGCAGACCCCCCCGGGTCACCCTCGGCAGCACTTGCTTGGGAAGGCTTTCCTTCGCTTCTGGGGCTGCCGTGGGGAAGGGGATTCCGGGCGGGTGGGAGAAAGGGGGTACCCAAGAGAGAGGGCGCAGAGCTGGGGTGCGACAGGGGGATGGAGGGATGCCCTCCTCAGGCTGCCGGGGAGAAGGACTCTCATTGCCAGCGAGCGCGCGAGCCGGCGGCCTGACAGGTGTGTGACGGGTGGGTGGGGGACACTGCAGGTCCTTGTGGGGAAAAGGCAGGACCCCAGGATGAGCGCCAGCGAGCGGGACACCCAGGGCCGAAAACCCTGCGCACGCTGCTCCCGCTCCGAGCAGCCCAAGTAATGCAGCGATACAGATGCCCACTTTGCGGTGCCCACCCCAGCCCGCCGAAGCGCGGCTGGCGGGGGACGTCGACAGCGGCCCAGTTCCGCGGCAAGAAACAGGTCCTTGCAAGCGCCGCACCGCGATGACAATCTGCACGTATTCACTCCCGTTCCGCGATTCCTTCTGCTATTGTGCCGGATGCCTCACCAAGCACCAGAAATCCTCCTGAGATTTTGGCAGGCCTGGATCCATGCGCCCACAAGTCAGTCCCTGCCACCTCAAGGGCTAGAAACTTGCCTCCAGATGTAACGGAAGTGGACGCTAGTCGGCGGCAGTGCTTCTACACTCATGTCCGGTTCTGCTCTCGCACAGCGTCTCTGGCAAAGGCCCGGGGCACAGAGAGCGCTCTCCGGCTCTCTGGCTTCCTCTCGTGGCCTGGGCAGGGGCCTCATTTTGAGGGCTGGACTGCTCCCCTCTTACGCTCCAGAGCAGGCCTGGCTGGGGTGGGTCAGGACCCCCAGACCACCTCTCCACCCCTCGGTACCCCCAGTGCGCAACCCTCCGCCACACACTCACCTCCTGGCAGGCCCCTGGGCAGAGCCAACGCAGCAGAGGCCCTTCCGGGCTGGAAAGCGGTGCCAGGCCGGGCTTCCAGGCTGCGCCACAGGAGGCACCGCCAGGGCAGCGAAGGGACCTTCGGCATGACCGATGGGCAGCCAGCGCTGGCCCTGGGGAGAGTCCCGGGCCCTCCTTTCGGGAGGCCCGGCTGTGGGGGTTCTCCCCCCAGTTTGGTCCGGAGTCCCCACTGCCTGCCACGGGAGGCCCGGGGCTCGGAGAGGACCCTCGGCAGGTCGCGGCCACAGAGGGCCAGCACCCGGTCCCCTGGGCGCCAGGGCGTGGGCAGGGCAGGGCCCCTCTCGGTGGCACGCCACGGCGACTGGCGCATGCACGCGCGCCCCAGCGGAGGGCAGTGACAGCGATGGCAGCCCTCTCCCGAGGGGAGGCCAGGGAGGGCTGGGCAGGCGCTGGCTCCGGGGACTCGCTGGCCACGTCCCCCCCTCCCGCGGGGCCGGGCGCTGCCTCACCTCCCTCTTCCATCGGGCCAGCCACTCGTCGCGCTTCCTCTTGCTGATGTAGTACGGGTCCCCGGCCTGGAACGTCAGCCGTGGCATCGGCCGGGGACGCAGGCTCGGCTCGCAGCCTCGGCCCCCGCGCAGGCGGCCCCGCGACCCCTGTGTGGGCAGAGCATGGGAGAGAGAGGGGCGTGAGGGGCTGCGGAGGAGCCAGCGGGGGCGCGCTGCCCCGCAGCCACGCGGGGAGCAGCGGCACGGCCCGAGCCGCCGGGCTGCCCACACCCACTCGCCCCCGGGGGCCGGGGCGGCGGCACGCCTGAGGAACCGGCGCAGCTCATGGGGCTCTGGCCGCTGCCCAGCGGCTTCGGCTTCGCAGACAGGGAAGCCCGGTCCCCTCCCACCGGCGCTGGGCGCGCAGCTCCCGTCCGGCTCCAGGCGCCGCCCTGGGGGGCGGGTGGCCGAGGCCTCGGGAGAGCGAGCCGCCCGCAGGGACCCGGCCACAGATGCCTCGACCCGACGCTCGGCCCGGGCCCGGCCCACGAGGACGGCCGTTCGTGCCCCAACTCCCTCCAGGATGGCGGGGGGGGGCACTGGCCGGCCGGGCACGTGGGGCTGTGGGGCCGGCCCACCCACCCTGCTCCGATCGGCCAGGCAGCGGGTGGCAACAAGCGGCGAAGGCTCCCGGTCCCCGCGGTCGAAGCTGAGGGCGGCCCGGGGGGCTCCGGGGGCTTTTGCGGCTCCCCCAACCCACCCCCTGCAGATCTGCCAGGCACTTGCCTCCAAGTTCAGGGATCCGAAGTGGTTCTCCTCCTTCTCTTCTTTGCCTGGGGAGAGGGGGGAGGGTGAGTGCTGGGGGCCAAGGCGTCTTCGGCCAGGCCGCGTCCCGCCCGCCCAGCGCAGCGCCAGCAGCTGGAAGAGGCATCCAGCCAGCGGGGCTTTCCCACCCGAGCGGCCCGTGGGCACCGCACAGAAGCAGCCTTTCCATTTCTTCAACAGAGAAAGCGAAGCGGGGGCCTTCCTAGCCCCCTCAGGGAGTGCTGCGCCGCCATGCGCCGCCATTCCCCATGGCCAAGGGTATTCTGGAACGGCGGGGGAGGCAAGCCGCTCACTGGCCTCCGCCGGCCGCCTGTCCCACACGCCCGGCAGCAGCAAGACCGGGCGTCCAGCGGGCCGAGCTGAGCCGAATCTGCCTTTCGAAGGCTCTGGGGCAGCCGGGTTCCGAACCGCACGGTGGAGGCAGGAGGACCCGGTGGCGCCCAGAGCACATATCCTGCCCAGGTCCGTGCGGCGAGGCTCCCAGGCAGGGGAACAGGAGGGCTGCCTGCTCCGGGTCCAGCCTGCGCCCCGGGGGGGGGGGGGTGAGCAGCCTCCGCATCGCCGAACCGCCCCTTCCTCCTCCAGCCCGGGCACGGCAGGAGCCCCTGGGGTGGCCACTCGCTTCGGGCCGGCCTGGGTCCCAGGCACCCCCTTCCCCCGCAGGGACTGCCCTGCAAGCCAGGAGGGCCGAGGAGAGCTGCAGGCCGGGAGGGGCCTCCACCGGCTCCCCTGGGGCAGGGCCTGCAAGGCGGGTCGGTGGCTCTCCCTCTGGCCGCTTGCACAGGACCTGTTCCTGCCCCCGCCCCGTGGGAGGGGTAGTTGAGCTCCTTGTCTAACTGTCTGCCCCCCCCCCGCCAGCAGCAGCTTCCGGGGCCGCTCGCAGGAGCGCGGACAAGCGGGACGCTCCGACGGCACGCACGACGGACTCGGAGGGCGCCCACAGCGGGGCAGGCACACAGCGGGGGCCGCCGAGCCCTCCGCCCCCGCCCAACTCAGCCGCCCTTCCAGGAGGGGAGAGGAGGGGCCTCTGCCCGGTGCCCTGAGGCCTGGACCGGCGTGCCTGGCGGTCCTCACGGAGGCAGCAGGGAGGTCCCCACACCTCCGAGGGGAGCACCCCCATGACAGCTGCAAGGGCCCCTCCCCAGCCGCGCCAGACCTCCATCAGCTCCCAAGCGGGGGTGGAAGCACATGCTCCATCGGGGACTCCAGAGCCAAACTGGACAGGGAGCCCACAAAGCCACTGCCCCCCCCCCCCCGATCGTGCCTGGACAGGTCCCAGCAGCCAGAGAAGGGGCTCGGCAGCGGCGATGGTGTGACTGACCACGGGGGTCGCACATGATGCAAATCGGGGCTGGAGCTGACCGGGGCAGGGCTGGCGGGAGGGCCAGGGGCTGCCCTGCCTCGCTCCCCCCCCCCCCGCTGCACTTCCACCTGTGCGCCAGGCCCCATTCCAGGCCCACCCCCTGCACAGTGCCAGAGAGGGGACACGCCAGGGAGGCTGGGGAGCGGGGGGGGGGCGGCCACTCCGCACCTCCAAGCACAAGCGGCAAGCCGACTCAGGCGCCCCTGCTCCCCCCCGTGCCCCCCACAGGTCCACAGAGCGCGCATCTCGGCACAAAAGAGCATGACGCACCATCTTTGGGCAGGGCAGGGCAGCGGAGCCCGGGAGCGCCCCCCGGGGGCCCCGGAGCTGGAGGGGGCTTGCCACGGGAGAGGATGTGCAGGCTGCCCGGACAGGTGTGGCAGGGGCGGCAGAGACCAGCTGACGCCCCCCGTGCCGGCCCCCCGCACAGACAGAGCCCGGCCCTGCCCACGGCTGCGGCTCCGTGAAGGAGGCGAGGGGGGGAGAAGCCGGCCGGGAAGCCGGTGTGGACGCCTCGGGTCCCGGCCGCTCGCATGGGGCAAGAGCCCATCGAAATCAGTGGGAGAGGCTGTGGGGGGGCTGCAGACCCCGCCTGCTGGCCAGAGCCATTCTTGGCCCCCGGCCCTTGGACGCTGCCACGGAAGCGCCTTGCCCGCCCCCGGCCACTGGCGGCCCCCGCAGGACAGCCCAGGCGCCCAGACCGAGCAGGGCCACGGCAAGGCAGCCCACAGCTGCAGGTAAGGGGGCGAGAGGCCCAAGGCCGCGGGATGCTGCCCCATCTCCTTCACGAAGCGCCACCAAAGACGACCCCGCACACTGCCCCCTGCTCCCTCCGCGCGCCTCAACTTCCCCGTGGGGCAGCTGCTCGCCCCCTTTCTGTGGGCCCACCGGCCCTGCTGCCCTCCGCCCCACACGGTCGGATCCCTGGAAAGCACCCACGTGCCTCCCCCTCCCTCTCCGGCAGGCGCCCCCCCCCGAACAGGCCCCTTCCCCTGCTGCTGAGCCTCCTCTCCCGGAGCCAGGCTCCCCGGGGCCATGCCGCCCGCCCGGCCGGCCGCCCGCCCCCCTCCGGCTTTCGGAATTTCCTTCTGGCAGAGCCTTGGCCCCTTCCCAAGGACCGGCCCCAGCACGGCAGCAGCCCCCGAGACGGACCCTCCCCTCGCGGGCGCCCTGCCAACAGGAAACCGAAGCTCCCTGGGAACAGGGCCGGGCCGGCCTTTCCCTCCCCTCTCCTCGCCTCCCCCCCCCCCGGATTCCTGGGCAGGGCAGGATTCCTCCAAGCCCCACCCAGGAGGAGCAGGGGAGGGGGCGCCCGGCGGGGGGAGGGCCCAGCCGCTTGGCAAGGCGCCGGGACCGGCCGGCCACAGGGCGCTCCTGCCTCCCCATGGGAAGAGCCCCCCCGCCCCGGGGCAGGTGCTGCGGCTTCTTGCCCACGTGCTTGCGCTGGAGGCCGTGGCGGGGAGCAGGGAGCATCGACCCACGGGCCTTCCTCCCGCACCGGCCCCACTCAGCAGCGGGCAGCGCCCCCAGCCGGCCGGCACGGGGCCCAGGAAGGCCCCCGTGGACGAAGCCAGCCCCCGCCTCCCCGGCCAGCCGCTCGCTGGCTGGGGCAGCCCCCCTCGCCCAGCCACCGGGGTCTCGTGCGGGCCAGCTTGTGACTTCTCTCCCCCGGGTCCCGGGCCTGGCCCTCGCCAAAAGGGAGCTGGCAGGGGCAGCGCCAGAGCCACGGGGCCTGGGGCAAGGTGCCTGCGTGTGGCCCCAGCCTCCAGGCCCCCAAGTGAGGAGTGGGCTGGCCCCTAAACACCTCCGCCCACTGCAAGCCCCCTGGGGCACCTGAAGCTCTCATGGACGACCTCCGCCAGCGCCGGCACGGACAGGACCCCCACCCTGGCGAGGCGGGGGGCACGGTGCCAGCAGAGGTCTCCGCACACGCTTCCCAGTGTCGCCCACTCTCGAGCAGCCCCGGAGGACCCGTGGCGGCCCAGTCCACGCGGCAGGCCAGGACCCGCACGGGTCCCTCAGCCCACAGAGCTCTGCCCCAGGCAGGCCGCCCCGGGAGACATGTGGGGCCGGGCAGAACACTCCCGCAGCCCTTTCAGGGGGAGGCCCAGAGATGGCTGCAGGATCCAGCGGGAGCAGCCGTGGCTGAACCCCCGAACCTCCGGGTGCCCCGAGAGCCAGAGCCGGTCAGCCACTGCCACACACGGGCGCCACCCCGGGGCACGGCAGCGGCTCCTCAGGCCCCGGGCCCCGTGCTGCCCCCCTGCGCTGCTCAGAGCCAGCGGACCAGGCTCTGCGTCCCCCAGCGCCCCGTCTGGGAGGAGCGTGCGGCGTGGTGTCCGCCCCGAGCCCCAGCTCTGAGAGTCGCTCCGGCTGCCGGGAGGCCTAGTGATGGGACGGCTGGATCGAGAGAGGCGGGGGCCGTCGGAGGCCCAGGGACGCCCGCCAGCCCGGCCCGGCCCGGCCCGGCACCTGCCATGCTGCAGCGCCGAAGCGGATCTCGTCCCTCCGGCGCCCGACCCCCCGCACCCTGACCCAGCACCCTTGGGGCCCCCCACGCGGCACGCCTGGGACTCGCCGGGGCACCCGGCCTCAGCCGCGCCAGCTCCCCCGGCCCGACCGGCCCTGCCACGGAGCTCACCTTCGCTCGCAGGGGGGTCCGGGCTGTCCTTGGGGGGGCAGCGCCCGTTCTCCAGGGCCCGCCCCCTTGCCCCCTCCAGGAGGCCGCCGGGCTCGCTCTCGCCACGCTGCCGGCCCTTCCCGTCCGCTGTGCTGCTGTTCTCGGGGCTGCCCATGTCCGCGTCGCCGTTGGGCACCGGCTCGGCGGGGCTGGCGCTGTGGGCGGGCTGGGGGCACTTCGGTGCTGAGGCGGTGTCTTTGGGGGCCTCGCCGCTCTCCACCTGCAGAGGGGCCAGAGGGGGGGTGAGAGCCCGTCGACGGATCCAGGCAGCCCCAGAGACGGGGAAAGTCATCCGGGCGAGGCAGAGGCACGGGCCGAGGGGCGTGGGGGGCAGGCAGGCCGGAAGGGAGCCAGAGGCACTGGGCAGCTGTGCCGGCCACCTTCCAGAGGGGCCAGAGCCGGCCGGCCGGTTGCAGCTTGCCAGCTGTGCGGATGCAGGCCGCCCGGCTCGTCTGAAGGCTTGGGGGGCTGCCTGATCCTCTGGCACGGCTGCCCGGGTTTGGGTGCCGGCACAGCGACAGGGCAAGTGCGCGGGGAGAGACCCTGCAGCCGGGGGGGAGCCCAGGCCCCACGCAGCCACGGAGCACGCCGGGCGGCACTGGGCCCGTCACAGGCTCCCCACCCTGCCTACCTCCCAGGGAGGTTGTTGTGAGGGTAAGATGTGGCGCGCAAGGAAGGCTGCTCTGGGGAAAACGGCAGGATAGAAACATAATGAACAACTGGATGAATGCGTATCTCCCTTTTAAGCCCCTTTCCGGGAAACAGAGCCCAGAATCTGTACCGGAAGGAGAATCAAGCTGGAGCGTGGCGCTGCTGGGCCAGTGGGGCAGGGGAGAGGCTGTGGGGCAGAGGAGGGGAAGCACAGCAATGCCTCACCGGCCCTGGGGGCCACGCTGCCCCCCCAGCTGGGCACTGCCGGAGCGAGACAGGAAAAGGACGTGAGGCCGAGCACTGTCCTTGGGGCGCCTCCTCCAGCGGAGGGTTTGCATCCTGTTCCTAAATCGGCTTCCCTTTGAACTGTGGCCACGTCCTGCTGAGGACAGGCCCATTCGGCGCCCCGGCACCCATGGGGGCTGCGCACGCGGCCCACACCGGCCGGCCGGCCTCTCTGGGAGCGCCCGGGCCTAGCGTGCCGGCCAAGGGTGCCCTGCAGGGGCGGCCCCGGCCAGGCCCAGAGCTGTGCGTGGAAGGCGGTGGCTGGCCCACACGTGTGTGTGTGTGTGGGGGGGGTGAGTGTGAGTGTGAGAGAGACAGCGGGGCTCTCCTGCCACCAGCGGGGGGTTCTTGGCTTCAGCATCCTCTGGGCTGCCCCTCGCCCGCCTAGCTGGCCCCAGGGACCGTAAGCAAGCCCTATCGCAGCATCCAGCCATCACCCTGAGGTGAAGCAGACCCCCCCGCAGCCGCCGAACACACCACCGGAGGGACCTCCCAGCAGTGCCCGGGAAAACAGGCCTGTTTGAAGCCGGGGCCGTGGAGAGCGAGCGAGTGAGCGAGCTGCCGGGGCCACTCCGGTCCCACTCGGGGCCAGCAGGCCGCCTGGGAAAGGGGCAGAAGCAGCGGGCGACAGAACCGGCTTGGGCAGGGGGCCAGCCATGCTCGGGGCCACGCTCCACACCGCGCCCAGCACCGCTCAGGCCCCACAAGAGGCTCTCCTTGTGAGCAGACGAGAGGGGAGCTGAGCCCGAGCCCCCGTGCGGCCGGCCAAAAGCCTCGGGCGATGCGGGCCCAGCCACGTGCCCTCTGGCCTGCCCTGCCAGGCGGCTGGAAAGATTGGAGAATGGGCCGGGGCAGCCTTGGGAGGCCAGGGATCGGCAGAAGGGGTGGGGAGGGGGGCCCCTGCCCCCGTGTCTGGGCAAAAGGGGGGCTGCACCGGCGAGCCTTGGGGCTCCCCTGGGGGCTGCTCCTCGGGGCTCTCAGCCACTGGGAACCCGGGACAGGGCCTCCTGCCCGATGCCGGCAGCGGGGCAAGCCATCCCCCGAGCACCTGTGTGGGGCAGCCCGCAGACGGGCCCCAAATTGGGCCACCTGGCGACTGGGCAGCCGCCCCCCCGCAGCGCAATACCATGGAGCCCCGCCAGAGTGGCTTTGGCAGCATCCCCACTCCCATCAGCCCCAGCTGTAAGCTCCTCCGGGCGGCTGGGCACCTCGCCTCCCCTTCCAGTGCTCCAGGGCCAGCCCGGTGGTTGCCTCATCTTCCTGCCTGGGGCAGTGCGGGGGGGGGTAGAAGAGGCGGGGGGAGCGTGGACCCTCCGTTGCCGGGCAGCCAAGGCCAAGGCCAGGCGCGGGGAGAGGCCGGCCCGGAGCAGCGGGAAGGAGGCGGAGGGACGCCGGGGCGCCCAAACGGGGCCAGGGGCTCTGGGGCAGGAGGGTGCCAGGCGGCTGGCAAGAGCCGCCCCTCCAGGCCAGCCAGTGGAGCAGCTTTGTGCCCCGCGATTCGTGGGCAGGGCAGGGCAGGGCAGGGCAGGGCAGGGCAGGGCAGGGCAGGGGGAAAGGGGCTCGGGCGGACCACACAGCCCCGTGCTGGGCGGGCCAGAGGAGCCCCTCCCTCTGCAGCGGGGGGGGGGCCTGGAAGACGGCCTCCCCCTCGGCCCCTGGACCCGCCTGGCCGGGGGGCACAGCAACTGCCCCGGCTGCCCTCTGCGGGAATCCCCGGAAAGCACGCAGGTGGGCGATGGGGCCTGGCAGGGGCAGAAGCTCCCGTGGCACCTGGGCCAGCTCTGAGGAGCTCAGGTGGCCCAGATGGCGTAGGCACCCCCCCCGAGAGCTGCCCCCCCCAGGGCGGGCAACACGCCTCAGGTCTGCCGGACTGGCGAGGGGAGGGCACGTGCTTGCGCAGCCCCCGCCCGCCCGGTGCCCTCAAGCTTTTAGGAGCACAGAGCCACCTGCCCCGGGGGTGGGGGCAGAGGTCAGGCCCGGGGGCAGCTGCAGACATGAAGGCCGGGCAAGCAGCGCTGGAGGGGCCTCTGCTGACCCAACCGCCTCGAGCAGCACGCAGCCCTCCCTGCGCCCCCCCCCCCGCGCACCCACAGCCCTGGGGCGGCCCCCCGGCCCGTCCGGCCACACGGGGCAGGGAAGGGGCCGCGTGTGCCGCAGGCCGGTGTGACGCCGCATCCCACAGCGCTTCCGGGGGCCCCTCGCACACTCCGCTGCCGAGCCCCCCGGCGGCAGGCCTCCCCGGCCCCCCGTCTCACCCTGCTGCGGCCAAGCGCCTCCCTCCGTCCCGGCCTCCGCGCCGGCTCCGAGCGAAGGGGGTTTCCTGCCGGCTCTGTGGAGAAGCGGCCCCCCCGCGGAGGGACTTCCTCCAAAAGCGAAAGCGACACACGTGTGCCGCGCACCTCGCCGCCCCACGGCCCCGGCCCCTCCTCCCCGGGAGCCCACGTGGGGCCGGTGCCACGCTAGCCCCTCGCGGGCGGCTCCGAAGGCGGGGCGGGGCGGGGAGCGGCCTCGGGGGCACGGGCGGCCCCAGCCGGGCCTGCCCCACTCGGGGCACGGTGGCGGACGGAGGGCACGGGGGCTCGCGTGGCCCCCGGATCGAGCGCCACGCAGGCTGCCCGCCTGGCCGTGCCGGCCGAGGAGGAGGAGGGGGAGAAGCCACGCCAGGCCGAGCGGGAGGAGCACCCGTGCCAGGCGGGGGGAGCCCTCACGCTCGCAGGCGGCTGCGCCGGCCTCACACCCCAGCTGTGCCGGACTCCCGTGGCAGAGCTGGGGCTGCCTGCTGACAGCCCCCCCAAAGGCACAGGGGGCCTGGCCACGCTCAGCCTGCCACGTGGGGGGAGGGGGCAGAGGCCCAGAGGGAGGACGGGCCGTGCCAAGCAGATGGGCGCTGCCTCCACGCCAGGGGGGCCGGGCCCCCTCCCCCTCCCCAGGCCCTCCCCTGGGGGGGGGCCTCTCCTGAGTCTCCCGCCCGTCAGCTCCAGGGCTGCCCCCCAGGCTCTGCTCCCAAGAGAGGCAGAAAATGCCCGCTCCCCGCTTTCTCCACCCTGGGCGCCATTCCGTTCGCCTCCATCACGGCTCCCCGTCCTCGCCCTTTCTCTAAGCCAAACAGTGCCGGCTGCCCCTCTGGGGAAGCTGCTCTGGCCCCGCCGCCACTTCCAGCGCCCCCCTCTGCACTGCGCTTTCCCGGGCCCCCAGCGCCCTTTCCCAGGTGCACGGCTCGGCACGGCTCGGCTCGGCTCGGCCCGGCCCGCGAGACTCTCCGTGCGGGGGGGCCAACAGGGTGTGAGGGGGGCGTGTTTTCAGCGCCTCGCCTAATTATGCCTGGCGTGGCGCCTGCCTTTCCACAGCAGCTGTGCGAGGGAGGACGGCAAACACACGTTCACGGGGAAGCCGCCAGCATATGCCGCACGATGTAAATCCCGATCCCAGCCGCTGCCGACATGGCCGATGAATTCTAGTGATGCCTTCCTTTCACTGGTTTATTTAATTCCTCTCCCACCCACAGCCACCTCTCGCCTCGCCCCCCCCGCGGGTTCCTGCCCCCCTTCGGGGCACTGGCAGCACCACCGGGAGGGACGAAGCCTTCCGACGTGCCCGTCCACGGGCGCTTTCGTCCCGCGACCGGCCATCTGCCCGCCTGCTGAGGCCGGGCAGGAGATGCTTGGGTGGCAGCGGACGTGAGCAGCCCCTCGCGGCCCCCGATCGCCCGGTGGCAGAGCCGGCCCGGCGGCAAGGGCCGCCCGAGTCCTCGCCCCGCACGGAGGCGGCAGGGCCGGACCCTCCGGGCCTTGACGCAGCACTGACGCTCGTCCCCTCCCCACCGGGCCTCATGCAAGGAGAGGGGCTCCCGCACCCAAGCGCCTCTCTTTCGATGCAGGAGCTGCAGGGGGCCGAGTGCTCGGCCCCAGCGCCTGAGCGAGGCACCCCTTTGCGGTCGCCCGCCTTCCCGGGGCAGGGAAGGCCCACCCCGGCTGCCCCAGGGGGCCTGAAGCAAGGGCTGCCTGCCCGTGCCTGGCCCCTCGGGACCCTGGAGAGGCCACAGGACGGCGGGCTTCCACGCAGCTCCCTCCCCTCCCTGCCGCGGGCACCGCAGTCTGCCGGCCCGGCACAGTCCGGCCACAGGGGCAGCCGGCCGCATGCAGCCGCCGCCCCTCCCCAGGCACCTGGGCTGTGGCCGCCGGCCGGCCAGCCTGCCTCCCTCCCTGCCTGGGCCGGGCCGGGCCGTGGTGCCAGAGGCCCGGCTGCAGCTGTGCGTGGCGTGGCGGGGCAGAGCAGAGCGGCCGCGAGGTGGCAGCCACCCGGAGCCCCGGCTGGAGGGCGCGCCGTTCCCACGGCCCACAGGGCCAAGCAGCTGCCGGGAAAGAAGCCCGTGCCGTTCCTGGCGGGATCAGGGTGCGTGGCACCGGCGGCCAAGCCTTCCACAGCTCGGAGGGCCTTCGCCTCCGGAAGGGCGCCCCAGAGAGCAGCCCCACCGGGGCGAAAGGGCCCTCGGAGCGCGGCGGAGGGGTTCGGCGGCATGCAGAGGGTCCAGCTGGGAAGTCGGGGAGCGTTCCCTCCTCTGCTCTGGCAGGAACACCGTTCACCGCCCCTGGCGATCCACGTGCGAGTCACGGGGGCCCTTTGCTCCCCTGTGGCCTGGCCGCCCCACTCGTGGGGGGAACGTGCCGAGTGGGCCGCCGAGCTCATCTCCCCGTTGCCCCAGGGCAGAATGGAGCAGTGCCCCCCCTCCCCGCCTCACTAGCTGCTGTGGGGGCCCGGGCCTGGCCTCTGCTGGCCTGGCCACAGCCGTCCCGGGTCCAGACGCGGCCGCGGGCTCGCTCGGTGCCTCGCCCCGCCTCGGCTTCCCCACGGGTGGGGTTGCCGAGGGCCCGGAGAAGGGGGAAGGCAGGGCTGCCCCGCGGCCGGACACAGCGGGCACCGCCTCGCGGCAGCCGGCCCCTCCAGCGGGGTCTGCACGGCGCCTCCTCGGGGGGGGGGGCAGACCTGTCCACATGCACTGCAGAGTCCCCTCCCGCACCCCCCCCAAGGAGGCCCCCATCCAATTCCGCCTGCAGCAATTCCTGCCACCCTGATGAAGATTTAGGGGAGGGGGCGGGGAGGGGGCACGTCTGCACACCAACAGCCAAGCGCCTCGCTCGCCACAAGTACGGGCAGGAGCCCTGCCAGCCGGACGGTTGTGCGGACGGAGCAGGGGGCGCTGGGGTTCGACTTTGCACTATTTGTTCTGGCTCCAAGGCAGAGTTTTCAAAGCAGGGCAGATCTGGAGGAGGAACCGAGAGGGAAAAGCAGGGCAAAGCACAAACTGGGGGTGGCCAGCCCCCCCCCCCCCGTGACACTCCAAGTCCCAGTCACCGGGAGTCACTTCTCCGCCAAACCTTCTCCAGCTGTTCTCAAGCTGCTCTAGCTGGCCAAAGGGACTAGCACCTTGGTTTCAGCCCCCGCACATATGCAAAGACGGGAAGCCCAGAGTTCCAGATTGCTGCATCACCCGCCAAACACCCGTTTGCTTTGGTCTGTGCAGCACAGCGTCCCAAGGAACCCCGCAGGGGAACCAGCCGCCCTCCCCCGTTCCTGCCCCAGAGCCAGGCGCTGCCGCCCACCCCCTGCTGCCCACGGCTGCTCCGCCGGCACCCACTCACCGCAAGCTGCTTGCGCTTCCGGCCGGGCCGCCCGGCTTTCCGCGTGGGTATCCCTGGATCTGGCTTGTCGTCCTTGTTGCGATTCTCATCGAGGTCGTCTTCGCCCTGCCGTGCGGGGAAAGAGCGGCCCAGGTCAGCTGCGCGTGCACGTGAGGGGCTAGGCATGCGCAGAGACCCCCCACACCAGCCCCGGCGGGGCAGGGGGCCTCTGGGAGGCGCACGAGCCCCCCTGGCCCTCACGGGGCCGCCCGCTGCGAGGGGCCTGCAAGGGGCCCGCTCTGCTGTCCGTGGGAGAGCACACCGAATGCCTTGCTGCAGAGGCGAGGGCCTCACTAGCCCCCGCTGCAGGGACCAGCAGGGGGCCTGATGCCCCTGCCGCACCCCCAAGCAGCGCCCTCCAGACCCTCCTTTCCCTGGCTCACGGCCGTTGCGGTGGCCGCCTCCCGTCACCCCTCTGCTGTGGGCCACCTTGGAAGCCGGCCGGAGGACTCCTGGCAGGGGTCTCCTGGGGGAGCCGTCATCGGCTGCAGCCCCCGTCCCTGGGGGCCACGGGTGCCCTTCAGAACAGCGGTGGGGGTCACCAAGCCTCGGGTGGCTTCAGAGCAGATGCCGAGCAGCCTGCCCGGGGCACCCTGGCCACTGCCCGGGCAGTGCCCCCAACCTGGGCCTTCTGCTGGCTTGGGGATGATGGGAGTGGCAGTCCGACCCATCCAGAAGGCCCAGCTCAGGGAGGCCTAGCTTGAAGCCACTCGGGCAGGTCATCCTGAGCTTACACAGGTGCTGACAGAGGGCCACCCGGACCCTCCATGGCCACCCGCCCTGGCAATGGCACCCACTCGCTGAACTTACAGGCAGCAGTAAAAAATGGGTTTCTTTGGCCCTGCTCCTTCTTTGGCCCTTGGGAGAACTTACTGGGGCCTCTCGGAGCGGCCGTGGATCATTCTGCCAAAGCATTTTGCTGCGCTTGATGGCCGGTGCCCTTCCGTGTGGGTCCCCCCCCCCCCCCCCGGAAGCCCTTGAGCGGAGCTGTGAGGATCCAGCGGAGGCACAGAAGATGTGCTGCGGGTGTTTGGGAAAACTCCCCTTCGGGTGAATTGCATTCCAGGGGCTGCGGCACATGATTTTCAAGCAAGGGGCTGCGAAATGTGCCAGCTCGCTCGAGGAAAGAGGGCAGCCTCTCCGCTGACAGGAGGCAACGCGGCCACGGAGCGAAGTGGGCTGCTCGGTCACGCTAGTACAAAAATCAGCTGCCAGCAGCCGGCGAAATTGCCTGCCAGGCTCTCCCGAGAACTTGCACTCGGATCCCTGCACGTGCCGGTTTGCTTGGCGCACGAGGAGTGAGGCCTGGCTGGCCAGGAGCCACACACCTGAGCGAACGGTTCGGCAAAGAGGAGCCCCGAGGAACCGGCGGCTGGAACAGAGGCCCTCGCTAGCAAGGCCACCCGGCCAGGCAGGCGGCATCGCCCTTCCCAGCAGGGACGCCAGACGGGGGCAAGCAGTGCCACACGGTGGCCGCAGCATGGCAGGCGCTCACGTCCTTCAGTGCCGCGCTGGGCTCTCCGACCACAGACGGGCAGCGGGCCAGCCCTGCAGGGAAGGCAGGGCGGCTGCTCCCAACAGCCACCCAGCCTGCCCACACCACTCGTCCGGGGCCGCCCGACACCCCCCCCAGATGCTCAGCCCGTTGGGTGGGGCGTGCAGTGGGGCGTGCAGGGGAGCTGGGGCAGGGGAGCCAGGGCTGGGGCCCCCGTGGCACCTGCCGGGGGCTGGCTCTCGGCTGAGCCCGTTGTGAGGCAAAACACGGGCTCACGTGCCCGCCTCTGGATCCTTGGCGGAAGGCGAGGCAAACTGCACAGAAGCCGGGAAGCCGCTAGCTACCTCTGCTTGGAAGGGGCTGGTGGCGCGGGAGCCGCTCCAGGGTCCCCACAGCGGGAGCCAGCCAGCCTGCGGCAGCCCTTCCCAAGAGCAGCCACGAGAGCCCCCGTCCCACACGCCTAGCCAGGACTTTCGGCCCAGGTCGGGGGGCCTTTCAGCCACGCCACGCGCCTCGCACGCCAGGACGGGCCAAGGTCCGGCCCCTGCGCAGCACGACCACTCCGCTGTGGGACAGTGAGTGTCCGGGTGCAGCCCACGAGGGCAACGGGCCGTCCGCACCCCAAACACAGGGCCGTGGACTGCGCTCTGCTCACGACGGCGGGCTTGGGACCCGGGCCCGAACCCCCCTCCCCGCTCTGCTGGAGAAGGAAGGAAGCCCTGTGCCAGGAGACGTCGGGAAAGGGGGCCTCAGAGGGGGAAGGGGGCCCTCTGATGGTGGGTGGGAGACACTGGCGGCACAACCCCCCTTTCTCTCGTAGCTCGCTCGCCCCCCCTCCCCATTGCTTTCAGAGCCTCTGGCCCGGGGCTGCCCAGGTCAGGAGAGACTCCGCACGCACGTCCCTTGCATCGCTTGTGCATGGCGCATACGCTGACAGCAGGGCAGGCTGGCGGGAGGCGGGAACAGTCCCACGCATCCGTGGCCGCCCATTTCGTGCCAGGGTGGGAGACGCTGGCCGGGAAGGAGCAGGGACGGAAGGACCGGGAGGAACACGCTGCTGCGAGGCGGCTCCTTGCGTTCAGAGGGGCTGCGGGAGAGCCGGGTCGAGCGGGGACGCAGCAAGAGGAGCCCGTCCGATCACGGCCGGCCTCCCAGCGAAGCGGAAGGCCGACAGGCTGCCCCAAACCCAGCCCTGCCCGGCCCAAGGTCTGCAACCAGTTTCGGCGTGGCCGTCTTTTTCACCCGAGAGGCGCTCAGAAGGGCCGTGTGGCGCGGCACTCGCAAGATCCGTCCGCGGGCCGACGCAGCTGCGCGGCGGGAGGCCGACACAGGCGCGTGGGGAGCAGTGGGGGCACCAATGCGAGGGCGCACGATGCCCAGGGAGGGCGAAGGGCCCTCCCCGGCCCACTTTCCTTCACGCAAGGCAGCTCCCCAGGCAGACTGCCGCCACCAACACGCACCGCACGATTCCGTCTTTCTGGATGAGGCGTTTCAGTGTCTTGTTTAGGCAAAGCTTTGAGCACCGAGGCGGAAGACCAGGAGGGGCCGGCACCCCGTCCACCAAGCGCTGAAGCGCTGGCCACGGCCCTCCCTCCCGCCTCTCAGGGAGGGCAGCCCCCCGCTCTGCCCGGGGCCGGGCCTGGCTGCCCAACGCAAGCCCGGGTCTGTGCCGCCGATGCCCCCGGGAGGCCCCCCCTCGCCCAGGCCCCGCGCAGCCCCTCGCCACCTGGGCTTCCGCTGCGTGACCCACAGCAGGTTCTGGTGAAGCGCCGAGACCAGTCAGCCTGTCGGGGAGCCCGGCAAAGACCCCCCCAGCAGCCAGCACCATGCTTGCCCCAGGGCCGCCAGGGGCTCAGACCGGCCCGCCGTGCTGCGCCTTTCCCCAGGCGCTTGGAACGCCGGCCGGAGGCTCCCGGCACAGGAGGCGCTGGCCACGAGCGGGATTCCCGGCCACAGAGCCGCTTGACCGGCACAGCCCGGTGGCTGCACACGCCAGCCAGCCGCCGGACTCTTCTTGGGAGGCGCATCGACGGCCCAGCGAGAGCCGCGGCGGAACAGAACCACACACGTGACTGTGGGGAACGCCGGGCGATGCAGGGGAAGGACACAGCCGGGGCCGAGGAGCCGTGCGGGACGGAGCCGGAAGGCCTGGCAGGGGCTGGAGGACCCGGCCTGGCTAACCCACTGCTTACTGCACGACGATACAGACTGTCCCCTCCACACCAGGCGCACGGCGAAATGTATCACGGGGGTACAAGGAGCCAAGGAGCAAATCGCATGCCACTCTCTCAGATCAGGCTAGCATGAAAATGGAGCCAGGGTGGGCAACCTCATCATACCACGGAAGCTGCCCGGGGAGCCTTTTGGCTCAGGGGTGCGGCCGTGAGGGTAGTAAATAAATTGAGTGAATAAATGGCACAGTATCCAAAGCCGGGAGTTCTGCCTCTGCTGCCCGTCTCGGGTCTTGGGAGCAGTTTCCACGACGGCGCTGCAGGAAACTCCTCAGCCACTTCTCCCCTATCCTGTACTTATGACAGCTATTCCTGTGCCCCAAGTGTGAGACCTTGCACTTACCCACACTGAACGCCATCCTGTTGTCTCCTGCCCACTTCCACAGTCTGTCCAGATCCTTTTGGATCTGGAGTACCTGCTCCTCAGTCGTGGCCACTGCTCCAGTTTTAGTGTCGTCTGCGAATTTGATCAGCAGAATGTTCACCCCTTCTTCCGTGTCGTTAATGAAAAGATTAAACAGGATCGGCCCCAGGACAGAGCCCTGGGGGACCCCGCTTGTCACTGGCTGCCATCCCGACGATTCCCCGCTAATGGCTACCTTCTGCTTTCGGTCAGTCAACCATGCCCTAATCCACCGGACAGTGCTTTGGCGTATCCCAAAACTCCTCAGTTTCTCCACCAGGATATCATGGGGCACTTTGTCAAAGGCTTTGCTGAAATCCAGGTAAACCATCATCCACTGCATCCCCGCCCTCTAGCCACCTTGAAACCTTGTCATAGAATTCCACAAGGTTTGTCTGGCAGGACCTGTTTTTGCGGAAGCCGTGTTGTGTGGCTGCCAGCCTCCCTTCCCTATCTAGCATCACTAGATCTCTCTCTATTTATGAGCCTTTCCATTGTTTTTCCTACAATTGACGCAAGGCTAACTGGTCTATAATTCCCCATGTCCCTTCTACTACCCTTTTTGAAAATTGGGACCACTGATGCCACCCTCCAGTCCTCTGGAACTTCACCCATTCTCCATGAGGCCTCAAAAATGGAGGCCAGCGGGCGTGAGAGAACCCCTGCCAACTCTCCAAGTCCTCTCGGGTGCAACCCGTCAGGGCCTGGCGCCTTTGTAATGTCCAATGCCCTGAGGAGCCCCTCGACTTAAAGGGGGGTGACTCTAATCTGTGCCCCTAAGTCCCCGGCCTCATCCAATCTCCTATGCGGATCTCCCCCATCCTGCTTTGGGGAGAACACAGGGGCAAAATAGTCACTTAGCACCTGTGCCTGTTCCCTCATGTCAGTCACGGGATCCCCTTCCTCCTTATTCAGCGGCCCCACTGCCTGTCTCCCCTTCCGCTTGCTATTCGCATGTTGGTGGAAGCCCTTTGGTGGCTCCTGAAATTCTTTGGAGGCGAACTGGGTTGTAACTGCACCTCTTTGCTGCTGCATAGCTCTGTATAGACGGTTTATACTGTTTTATAAACTGCAGTTTCTACTTCGCAAGTTGAAGCCACGTTTTATCCACATCCGATACGTCGACCCGCCATGCGGTTGCCACTTCTGGGCCAAGAGTCGCGGTTTCTCCAGACCCCTTTTCTCTGCTTCAGCCCCATCCGGGGGGGGGGGGGGGGGGGGGGGCTTGGAGATCGCTGCGCCTGGCGCGGCTCCCACGCCAGGGCAGCGGCCTGTCTCCGAGCCGCCACTCCTGCTCCCCCCCAGCCACTGCTCTTGCCTCGGCCGGGCCCAGCGGCCCACACCCAAGGTCCGCGCATACACACCACACCCACAACTTGCACAAGCAGCCTGCGCCCCACGCCCGTCTCTGCAGCGGCAGCAAAGCAGCCCTCCAGCCCCTCCAGTGGAGCACCTCTGCCGGGGGGGGGGGGGGCAGCAGCCAACCTGGCCGACTGGCACCCTCCCGGGAGCTCCGGCAAGGGCGGGACAGCCTCGCGCCCGGTGCCGCGGCGAACGCCAGGGTGGCGGGTGACACTCCCCCCTGCGGAGCAGGCAAGCGGGCTGGACGCGCCTGGGCCAAGCCCGCTTCAGGCAGGGGAGCCAGAGCACATGGGAAGTGCCCACCGTGGGCCGGCCGGTCCCCGGCACCCAGAGCCCCTCCCGCCCGCTGTGCCTTGCAGACCCCCGGCTCGGTCCCGGGCATGGCCATGGATCGCGGCAGAGGGCCGCCCGCCAAACCTGGCCCGATGGACGCCGCAGGGGCACCGGACGGACACACGGCACGCCTCGCGCAGGTGGGACAACCGCATGCGCTCGCCGCAGCACCGCTGCCGCCTGACGGAGAGGCCGGCCCAGCGAGCCTCCTTACCTTGCGACCGTCGGCTGCCTCCCGGTCTGCGGCGGGGCTGCCGGCGTCCACGGGCCTGTTGGACGGCATCGCGGCAAAAGCAGGGCGGGCAGCGGCTGCTAAGCGTGGCCTCCGCGGCTTAAGTCACGCGAGGCTCCGACCGGCACCCGCAGCACATAGGCGGACGCGGGGAGCCGCCTGGGCTGGCAATCCGGGCCTCTCTGCCGATGGCGCCGTCCTGGCCCCCCCGCCACCTGCAACGGGAGGAGAGAGAGATGGAGGCGGGCGAGGCCCACGCCACTGCCACGCCCGGGGCCTCCGAGGCCTTTCCCCACCCGCGGCAGGCAATCATTAACGAGCGGCAGCCTTGACTGGGCCGTGCCGGCCGTGCCTGAGCCCAGCGGCAGCCGGAGACCCCCCCGCCCCTCTCTCCCCTCCTGGAGGCAGCCACCCAGACCCAAGGGGGCACCCAGCACGCAGCGCCCCCCAAAGCATCGGCCCTCCCGAGGCTCCCGGCCCATGCTGCAGCCACAGGGGGGCTGAGAAGATGGGACCCCCAGGGGGCCCCACCTGGCCCGCCCCTGCGACGCACAGCCCCCCAGGCATGTCGGGGCTGCTGCTCCACCGGCTGAAGGGGCCTGGGGGGAAGGGCTGACCTCTGCCGGCCACCAGCCACGGCGCCAGCAGAGAAGGACCCACGCCGGTGCCACGGGGCTCTGCCGGCCCCGCCTCCTTCCTGGCCAACTGCACAGACAGAGCCCTGCCCGACCCCTTCCGAAGCCCGCACAAGATACTGCGCCTGGGAGTCCAGCCCCCGGCTTCCCCGGGCCCGGAGGCCCAGCTCACAGGCACTGCAGCCCAAGGATTCTGGCTGGCGATTCTGGGCTGCCGGGCTGCGCCGGGGCAGTGGCTCCGGCCCCCATCAGCCCCCGGGGACAGGAGCCGCTGCATCGGCTCTGGGCTCCCACCGCTGGCCGGCGGGGTGTCCCCAGGCCTGCCGCGGCCCGGCCCGCCCGAGCAACAGCCCCGTCTGGAGCGGTCAGTTCGCGCTGCCGCTTGCCACCGACTGAACCCAGGACGTCCTCTCAAACAGGAACGGAGTGCGAGCGACACGCGAACCAGGCAGAAGCGCTGCCGGGTGGGCCGAAACCTGCCGCCAGGCCCCCTCCTGCCACCGCCATCACCAAGATCCAAGGGCACTGCGAGCGCAGGGAAGAACGGGGAGGCACACGCCACGGGCCACGGGCCTCGAGCGGGCAAACGCTTCCGAGGGGAGACGTGGGCCTGACACCAGCCTGCGAGGAGACGGGGGTCCCGGCGGAGAGCCAGGCCGGGGCTGGCGGGCAGGGGACCCCGAGGCTGCTCGAGGCGGCCTGCAAGCCACCTGTGTGGCCCCCGCCAGACCGCAAATGAGAGAGAAAGTGGGGGGGGGCTGGCCAGGAGGGGCTGGCCGGGTCGAACTTGCCCTCTCTGCGGCGACAGCAGGAAGGGGGGGGCCCTGGGCCACCACCGACACCTGCACCACTTCTAGCTGGTGCCGGGAATTGGCCCTCAGGGCAGCCCGAAGGCAGCCGCGCCTGGCTCACGAGGGGGCGCGGGCTGGCGGGTCTCTCCGCCCCCCCCCCCATGTGCAAGCGCCCTCCCAGCTGTCTGGCCCTGGCCGAGCAAGTGGCCCGCCGCGGGGGGGGGGGGGGGCCCGCCCCCCGTAACAAACCCCGCACGAGGCGAGGTCCCACTGGCTCCCCCGCAGCCCCCGCACGCACGGGCACGCCTGGCCCGCTGCGCGGGGAGGGGAGGGGAGCCTGGAGAGGGCGGGGCGGAGGGCGGGGCGCCGGGCTCACCCCCCGCAGCAGCGGGGCGGCCGCCCCCGCCCCCATCCCAGGAAAGAGCAGCGCGGCCCGAGCTGACTCCCTTCCAGAAGCAGGCACTAAAAATAGCCGGGCCGGGGATCGCCCGGGCGGGGGGGGGGCGGCAGGAGTCCCTCCGCCCACGAAGCTCTCCCCGCGCAGCTGCCGCCTCTGCCTCTGCCAGCGCCCGCCCGAGCCCGGAGCCGCGGGAGCCCCCCCGTCCTCCGCTCCTCTCCGGCTCCGGGCCGAGTCTCCAGGGCTCGGCTCGGCACCCGCACCCCCCCAGGCTGCTCGCTCCCGGGGCCCGTCCAGAGGCGAGCGGGGCGAGGGGCCGCCCCCCCCAGCAGCTCGGCCTGGTGGGGCTGCCGGGCGCGGAGAAGGGGCGCTTCGGGCGCACGACCCGCGGGCGGCGGGACGGGAGGGGCCCCCGCCGCCTCGCGGGCTCCGGGCGCGGCGAGGGACGTGGCAGGGGGCCCCGCGGGCCCTCCGCGCTGCCCTCCGGCGGAATCCGCGGCCCGGGCCCGGGCGGCAGCACCTGGGCGCTGGCGCCCTTCCTTCCCCCGCGAGAGCGCGAGGCGCCGACCGGTGCGGCGCAAGGGGCGGGCAGCGGCCGGGCGCCCCCCGCTGCGACGGGGCGCCCCCTTTCCGCCGCAAGCCTCGGCCGGGGACCGGCGCAGCCCGCCGGCGGCCTCCGGGCGGTGCGCTCCCCGCTGCCGCTCACTCGTGCTCCTCTCCTGCGGGCCCCCTTTCCTAAAAGGCCACACCTGAACTCCTGGCAGCAAACTCCGGGAGCTGCGCCGGGCTGGGTTCTGCTTTCTGCCTCTTCTTCAGCCCCACCTTCCGCTGGCGCGCGGCCAGCGCATTTGCATTTTTAATCAGAAGCAAAAGATTGCCTTTCAGCTGCCTGGAGAACTTTCAAGCCCTTCCTTCAAGCCCGGCGTGGTTTTATCAGCAGATCCTCGACAGCAAGAAGACGGCACTGATCCAGGGTAGGCGGGCCTTGGAAAGTGTCTTGCTGGCCCTGATAAAGGGGTGGTGGTCCTGCTACACACTCCGTGGCGGGGGACTCCCACACTTCTCGCAGCACTGAAACGCGGGGGCAGCGAAGGACGCAGGGGGGATGCAGCCACTTCTGGAGTGCCAGCTGGAAGGAGATGGCGGGGGGGGGGCTGTAATGGCCCCAGCTGAGTTGGACTAGCCCAAGAGTGGGGGCCAGCCCCTCTCATCAGGCCCTGGGCCAGGGACCCTGAGGCAGCCTGGCTGTGACCCAGCGGGATCCAAGAACCATCCTCAACCAGCATTGAAGGGGCATCCATGGAAGGCTGTGTCCAGTTCTGGGCACCAAGACTGAAGAAAGATGCAGGCAGATTAGAGGGTCCAGCGAAGGGCAACAAAACTGATCCAGGGTTTGGAAACTGCCCTGTGAGGAGTGACTAGGAGAACTGGGCATGTCCAGCCTTGAGAAGAGAAGGCTGACGGGGACATGACCTCCCTCTAGGAGGACCTCCAAGGCTGCCTCAAAGAGGAAGGCCAAGATCTCTTCCTGCTGGTGCCGGAGTGCAGGACACAGAATAACCAGTTCAAGTTGCGACAATCCAGGTTCAGGCTGGACATCAGGCAGAGCTTCCTCACGGTCAGAGCAATACGACAGTGGGACCAGCTGCCTGGAGAGGTGGGGGGCTCTCCCACATTGGGGGCATTCAAGGGGAAACTGGGCAGCCCTGAGTGGGGTGGTGTGAACTGGTGTCCTGCACTAGCAGGGGGCTGGCCCTTCCAGACTGACTCTTACGCGATTCCACGAAAGCAACCACTTTCCGGCAGGGATGCGCCCCGAGGTGGAGGTTTGTGCCTGCACAGCCCCTGCCCTGCCGCTGCCTGGACCGACCGCCAGCCCTGCAGGGGCCTCCCTGGCCGGGCGGTGCAGCCAGTGCGGGGGAAGCATGTCCGGCCGGACCTGCTTTGGTGGCCTCCTTCCGGCCGCTGGCCTGCAGCGCCACACAGCCTCCCAAGACCCCAGCAAGGCCAGCGCGTCCGGCTGCGCCCACCCTCCCCACATGCAGAACCCACGTGAGGCAGTGGTGTGGTGGCGGGGAGCCCGTGCCAGGGACAGCGAGCGAGCCACGGGTGTGTCTTCCTAGGCGCCCAGCCCAGCTTTCAACTTCCCACCTGTCCTGGCAGTGGCCAAACTGATTCATCCTTCAAGAAATTTATTCACTGGGATTCTGGGTCTGTTGGCACAGAAACAGCCACAGCGCTGCAGAACTACGAAGCAGAAGGCGGAGTGAAGGTGGGGCAGCAGGAGCGGCAGAACGCGAGGCGAACGTGAAGCGGCTCCCAGTTAAAACAAGCCCGGCACCAACCAGGTGGCAGCACCAGAGGGAGGGCGATGCTGCCTCCCCGGCTGCCCCCACACACCCCGCAGGGCGGACCACACCGGCCCACGGCAGGCTGCCCCGGGCAGCAGGGAGGGGAGCCCCCGCCTGAGAATGGCAGTGGGCCTTCTGAGCCCCGAGGTGGGGGGGCGCCTCCGTAGGGGGCCTGGCCAAGGGGCCCTTCCCCACTCCAGTGCCATCTGGGGGCACCGGGCTGGGGAAGGCCAGATATGAGCCTTTGCCGCTAAGACAGGCGCTTGTCCTGCCCGCATGTCATGGCAGCCCCCCCAAGACGGCCGCAAGGACCCCCTGGGGTCCGCAGCCCCAACCTGGCCCATCCCCGGACCTCACAAGGCCAGGCCCAGGGTGGGTGTGTGGGGGGGCTTCTCCAGCTCCAAGCGGCTGACAGGATCCTGCAGCAGGGATTGGGACCGCAGGTGCAAAAGCCCCCCTTGTCTGGCAGGTCTCAGATGGGCAGGGAATGGGGGCTTTCTTCCTTCCCACTGCCTTGCACAGCCTTGTCTCCAGGTGTGGGTCGAGAGCCACCCTCAGCCTGGGACAGCTTGGGTTCTGGAGCAAAGCGGGCGTTTCCGGGGTGGGACGAGGGAACACCCCCTCCCCAACGGCGCTCTGAGGCTGCTTGGAGCCCTCTGGCCTGGTCAGCGAGGAAGGCTCTGGCGCCTCTCCCTCCAGACGGAAATGCATGAAAAATCTGTGGGGGGCGACAGATGCCCTCCTGGGAGGCCTGGGGGTACGGGTGCCCAGCAGCTGCGGCGGGGCAAGTCAAGGAGAGGCGGAGGGCCAACCTGGCCCGGCGAGGCCAACCTGGGCCCGCTTACACAGCAAAGCCCTGCCTGTGGGGGGCGCTGCCCCAACTCAGTCACACCAGTGCCCCCCAAGTCTCGGCCGGACTAGCCGAGAGGTATCGAGGGGGAGGCTGCCGGCAACTCCGCAGGGCTGAGGACTGGCAACAGAAGCAGCATCCGCCCCGGCACGGCGCCCCCCGCCCCCCACAGCCCCACGAACCCGGCCAGGGAGAGGACTTTGGCCAAGAAACGCAGCCTGTTGCGCCCTTCACTGCCCCACCCCCGCGGGGGGGACTATCCAGGCCAGTAAAGCCGGCCTGTCGGGGGAGCAGACCAGCCTTAGCCTCCGGCCGGCAGGCCTTCTGGGTCGAGCGGCAAAAGAAGCCGAGAAGACAGGACCACTCGTGACAGCTGGCAGGCCGGTGGTGGGAGCGCTGGCCTGGGGCTCTCAGAAGAGCCAAGATCTTACGTAGAATCACAGAAACAGGGCGAGTCAGAAGCCACCTGGGCCATCTAGTCTGACCCCCGGCTCCAGCCGGCTCCACTCATGACATTCCTACCTGTGCATGTCCAGCCTGTCCTTAAATACCCTCACCATAGGGGTCCCAGCCGCCAGCAAGTCCTTCCTGGCATCCAAGCTGAAGCCCGGTTCCTCAGGCTTTGCCCCATCAGAATACATCCCATCCTCTGCTGCAGGGGAGAACAGCTCAGGGCCCTCCCCCACAGGACACCCCCTCGCACCCCCAGAAGCCGCTAACAGGCCCCCTTGGGGTCTCCCCTCCTCCAGCTGGAGAGACCCCGCTCCCCCCACTCTCCTCCCAGGCCAGCCCTCCCAGCCCGGCTCCCATTCCTGTGCCCTGCGCTGGGCCGACCCCGACCTGGCAGTGTCTCTCCCACGACGGGGAGCCCAGCACTGGCCATGGTACCCCAGGGGAGGGTGCGCCAGTGCCACCCAGAGCAGTCCTGACACCCCCTTGACCTGGAAGCCACGCTCCTGGCCAGGCGTCCGCGGGTGGCGTTTGCCCTCTTGGCCGCCGCACCACACGGCTGGCTCATGCTTGGCCTGCAGTCAACCAGCACCCCGAGGTCCCCTCCACAAGGGCTGCTCTCCAGCCACCTGTCCCCTAACCTGTGCTTACGACACCCATTCCTGTGCCCCAAGCGCAAGACTTGGCCCTCGGCACTGAAGGCTCAGCACGGAGCTCCCCGGAGCAACTCCGGCCCCGTGGCAGCCTCCTCACAGGGCTGCTCCGGGACAGGAGGGAGAGGAAGCAAGCCCGAGAAACTGGGCCAGGAGCACAGGGCTCCTAAAGGCCAGACTGAACCCAGCAAGTACCCATTCTGACGTCAGCAAGCCTTCGGAAAAAGAACACGGCCCCCATTCATTGCTTGCGGTCTGTGAGGCTGGCAGGATGCTGGGGACTGTAGTCCAATGTCTCCAAAGGGGACCAGGCTGGGGAGGGCTGCCAGGGCCGCTGCTGCCGAACACTCCAAGGCCACATGTGGTGTGCCACGTGTGATGCAGCTCGTGCAGCACCCTGCACAGACCACGGAGGGTCCCTCGAGAGCCACTCCCGCCTCCTGCCCCTCGGGACTGAGATCCAGAGGCAGCTACAGACGCAGCCCCGCCACACACCCACCCCGGGACTAGCACTCGGCAGTGAGGCTCCTCCCCCAGGCGCCCTCCCCCTCCAGCAGGCAGAGGGCTGGTGCTGGGCCGGCCCCCTGGAAGCTGAGCCGCGTGGCCCCCAGCTGAGCCCTCTGTGCCCGGCCTCCTCTCCGGAGGCTTCCCAAGGCCACCCTTTCAAAGCGAACATGAGGCTCGCCCAAGCAGGGCCACCTGCGGCGGGGGGGAGGTGGTCCGTGGCAGCGCTCCCGGGCAGGGCTGGACTCAGGTGCCACCCCTCCTGATCCGCGGCTGTTGTAATTCTGACCCATGAGCCACAACAACACTGGCTCCATCCTGAGACGGAGCTGCCAATTACGGCCCCTGCGGTCATCCCCCAGCCAAGCCGCCAAAGAGGCACGGATCCTGGGGGGGGGGAGGCGTCCACTCTGCTCCCACCGGGGCACGTGGTGGGTGGCACCGGCCGCCTCTGCTCACACGGGGGGCCGCTCCACAGGCCGGGCACAGGAGATGGCGCCGCACACGAAGGGGGCCGCAGGAGACGCACGAGGCGCTCAGCTCAGCAGCCACCTCTGCCCCACACGCCACTCTCCAGGCCGAGCTGCTCCCGCCAGGCCCCCCTCCAAATTCTCCTGGGCGCCGGTGCCAAGCCGACAGCAGCACCCCTGGGAGCATCAGAAGGCCGACGAGGCATCTCCCAAGCACCCACAGGAAGGGGACCCGCTGCCCCGTCACGTGACTCCGGGAGCTCACTTCACCATCTTCACCACATGCACAAAAAGGGGCTTCCGCACAGCAGCCCCCAGAAAGGAAAGCTTGGGCCTTGAGGCCTCTGCGCGGGCCAGGCCCCTCCAGAGCAACGGGCCAGCTCGCGCCCCAGCACCGCCCACGCTGGCTCTCCACCGGCCCGTCTGCTGGGGGCGCCACGCCAGGGAGCTGCTTCCTCCAGCCGGGAATCCCCGCTCGCACATGCAGCGGGGTGGGGACCAGCGGCCAGGCCGGGAGCCGGACTGACGGGTCGCCCCACTGGCCAGCCCCGCGGCCACCCTCAGCTGAGGCTCACACGGGCCGCAGCCCGTTCCGCCCTCCTGCGGGACATGAGCGCCGTCTCCACTGCAGGAGCGCACCGGAGAGCAAGCACGCGGCTTGCCCCCGGCTCACGATTTGTGCCACCAAACACGTGGAGCACTGTCAGCCGTGCGGCGAGAAAACTTTGGAGGAAAATCCCAGGAACCACGAGGTCTGGAGAGGCAAGCGGGGCGAGGAGCCGTGCCAGGCGGGAGGGGGCGCTGCGCAGCGGGATGCCCTGTGGGGCACCCAACGCGGCTGCCTAGCCGGGCTGGGCACCGGCGGCAGCGGAGGCGCCCCTCCCCAAACGCAGCGGCCATTCGCCAGAGGCGGCACAGACCAACACCCTCCGCCGCTCACGCCGACCTCACCGGGAAGGAAGTCAAAGCCTCCTCACCAAGTCCACTGCCGCAGCCACCTCCGCGTGGCCACAGCCGCAGGCAGCGTCGCATCGCGGTTGCCGCGACTGAGCAGGACTCCCTCGCGGGGCAGGGCAGGGCAGAGCGCGAAGGGGCCCCCGCGCCGGCGTGACACGGCTTTTCCAGCGCCCGCCGCCGGCACGCTTGCGCACACACTGCCCGGGTGCAGCCCACTCCCCGCTCTCGGAGCCGTGGCACGGCCTCTGCCTCCTGCCCGAATCCCCCGGCTCGGTGGCGGGAGCTCCCCCAGCGAGGCGTCGGGCCACCCTGACCAGGGCCAGAATGACCACAGGCGGCCCGCCGCACGGGTGCGAGGGGCCACCCTCTGCACAGGTGAGGAGGCCAGCGCACTGCCCCACACCGGCCGGCCAGCAGGAGGGGGGCCAAGGGTCCCGCCGCACCCCGTCTCGGGGAGCATCTCCCCTGCGTGTGCGGCCATGCAGAGGCCGGGCAGGGCGACCGCACGGAGGGGGCTTCAGGCCGCTACCAGCAAGCACTGCGAGCACGGGGAGGAGGGGGCAAAGGGAGGACTCCCCTCCGGAGGAACTTCGCAAGGCAGAACCAAAATATGGGCTCCCGCCAGCTTTCCTGAACGCAAACATTCCTTTGGCAGTTCGGTCGCTTCCTCGCCCCCACCCCCATTTCTCATGACAATCAAGTTTGGCTCCTTCTAAGGCACTGAGCGCGGAGATTATCCAAGCCCAAGGGCAGCCGCCTCGCCCCGGAATCCAGCCCTGCTGCAGGGGGGAAGGGGCCGGAAAGCCCCCCAGCGCTGCCCGGAGCCGCCAGGGACCGGCCCGGCCATTATCCCCGCCAGTGTTTTTAGACATCTAATTGGAGGTAGAAAGGGCTCCCGCCAGGCTGTTTCCAGCTGACCCAGCATGCGAGGGGTTAGGCGGCCCCCCTGAACGCCCGGTCCACAAAAGGTCAGCCCCGTCCCCTCATTGTCAGGGCCTTTCAAAGCCGCGAGGCCTGCGGGAGCAGCGGGAGGGCGCCTGCGAGAGGGCATCCCTGGCCTCTCCCGGGCCGCGAAGGCAGGCCCGCGGGGGGGCACGTGCCTGGCACGGCGGCTGAAGCGCCCTCTGCCCGCTGCCGGGCCGCCACGTCCCGGGGCCACGGGCCGGACAGCCAGTTGGCCGGCCGGCCGGCCGGCCGGCCGGCGAGGCTGCCGGGCGTCGCTTGGGAGGCGCGGCCGGGACGG